TCCATGATAAACAGTCAAGTGTCATAAAAACAAGATGATAATTAAGAGGATGATTCTGGGAGAATATTTGGGTTGTCTGACAAATTATAAAGAGTGGTAACTCATAAAAAGTTGAAGAGGTTGAAGCATGCCGTTCTTTGGTAATGTGAAATTCATCAATTAAATGGGGGGGGGGACCTAAACCTGAAGTAGTCAAGTTCAATGATAGGAAAGTCAAACTTCTATCACGACCACCTCTGCTTTGCACAGTAAGCAGTAACTGAAAAGCAATTTACTCAGTCTTTTCCAAAGACTCAAGTCTTCACAGAATAATGATGTCTTAATTCATTTTTGAAAGGTAAGAGGAAGCCCAGTTAGACTAAAATAAGTCATCAAATCTTAAATACCATATTCAAAAGTCCCTCACTGAGAGCATTCCTATGTGATGCTTTGGTGCACCCACAATAGAGACCACTCCATAATTCACACTCACAAAAGAACCCTGGTCACATGAAGAAGGGGAAAAAAAAAAGTATAACCAAAAAAGCACAATAATTAAACCCTGTTCTTCTTGTATATAAAGAATTGTGTCTTTCAATGATCACAGCCAGGCTTCAAAGCTGGAGATAAAAGCAGCCATGTGATTCAAGCAATTGATTCTCAAAGACATGATTCAGAGGTAGAAGAAAAATTTCAAAGGTGGAAAAGATATGAAGCAGCATCTCTCTGAACTATATTTTAAATGCTTCCTTTCCAGTACTTCTTTCTCCTCAGATCTTTCTAGAGTAGAGTAGGAAAAACCAAGTAATTTCTTTTTTTTTCTTTTTTTTTAACGTAAATCTCTCCCTCTTTTCAGAGCCCAAATTTGAAATATTTCTGTTATAGCCATCAAAGCCTTTCTATCTTGTTCTTTCTCATAAGAGCTTTTACTGATACCTTTTGCTGATATGAAGGCATCATATATTAATGAAATATATTAGGTCCTGGATATGTATGACCTGAAACAATCTACAGCAACAATGTGTCTTTCAGCAAGGCTTGATTCCTATGGAGCTTGACTTTGTCAACGCTGTGATTCTTTGGCTTAAAGAGTGACTCCAGAAGAATGCCTTCTTTCCAGCAGTATAAGCAGTGCTTATTAATATTTCACAAAGAGTAAATCTGTGACTTCCCTTTCATTTTTCAGCTTTTTAATTAAGCAGAAAACATGTTAATAAAGAATCTTTTCCTCTCTTGGTCTGTTTAATCTTTCTGAAGGAATGAAAACAACCCTCCAAAACATTTGGACCATTTCCTTACTGGGGGGTATATGTGGGGGGCAGGGGGGAGGTGGCGATGCTGGGGTCTGAGGTATATTTTCGATTTCCTCCAATGGTCTGAGGAGACTTGGTCACGAGACTAACTAGAGCAGTGACTTATCCTCTGCAGCCAATCACTGGGCAAGTTCAAACTCTGCTGAGGCCAGCCAGCCATGCATTCTCCTGAAGACGGATGAGTGGCTACTACTACTCTTTGTTGTCCGAGGAGACGGAGCCAAATCATTTCAGAACATGTTATTCAAGAGCAGAATGAACTTGCAGCTGCTTCAGAGGGCAAGCCCGCCATCACCTCTTGACACTTTTGACGTAGCTCTCCATCCCTCGCCTCCATTAGCATGTACTGCTTGGAGGTAAGAAAGTCAAGAGGAAGTGTCACTCTGTCCCCGAGGTCCCTTGAGGACTCTGGCAGCTGACGAGGGTTAGATTCAAACAACAGCACACCCCAGGCCCCCACCCACCCTGGCCATTTTTGCCCAAGGATCCTTTGTCAAACATGTAAGATCTTAATCCATCTTCACTCTGACCTCCCAGACCCCAAGGAAGATGGATGAGGAAGTGAGTGACCTTTCACCTGTTCTATTCGGCCTGCAACAGTAGGCCCACTGAAAAGACAATTGGGGAGGAACCTGCTGCCACAGTTCTGAAGACTTGCCAGTTCCCCTTTTTATCCCTTCTTAAGCTCTCTTTGCGCTCTGGCCTTTCTTGTCCCGCCCCCAAATCACTTTTCTCTCACTCAAAGGTAAGTTCACTTTCCGACAGGGGAGAAATAAAATGACACTCTCCAAATATTACTTTCAACATGAAGTGTAAAAACAGACATTATTCTTTGTTAGGGCAAAGGCAATTCTTCCGTCCTATCTTTAGCTTTGACTTCCAAGAGGGGCTGGGAGATGGATGAACTTCTCTTTCGCTTGTTCAACTCAATACCCTTAAAAGTCCACGACTATGACTGTGAGAAGGACAGAGTTACCAAAGAATTGCTAGCATTAACATTGGTTTAATGCTTAGGATCTGAAAGATAACTTCTACTAATCTTACATCACTGTGTCCTTATGGCAAGACTGTAAGCTAAGTACAATTATTTTCAACCCATTTTATAGATGAAGAGACCAAAGCTCAGGGGCTTAAGAAACATGCTCAAGGTCATACAATTAGTTACAGTGACCACACTTGAGACACATTTCTTTGTCTCTGTGTTCTTTCTGCTCTACCTGGATGCTTCCCAGTAATGACGTCAAGGATGGAGTGAACGTTTTTATTACTACTAAGATTTTTACAGTCTTGAGTCATCTTTAAAAAGTCTCACTGAGGTTTGGAGTTGAAGAATCTTGCCATTGAAGTTTTTCCTTCCCCCTAAATTCATCAGCAATGCCTACCTGGTACTATTAAGAACAAACAAATAAACAAAGGGCAAGATTTTGTTCAAAAATTGTCTTCTTGAAAGAGTTAGGCATTTTATGAGCAGCAAAGAAAATACCTGGGTAATCAGAGTGAGAACAATGAAGATTCTAAAAAACGGCCTCAGTCAACCTCCCCTTCCATTAAATATCTGGCCTTGTGTTAGGAACAGTTACCTTAGAAACGGACTGAATCTAAAACATGGAACCCCACCCCTTCCATGAACCATATGATTAACTGGATTCCCAAGATTATTTCCATAAAGCAAACCACTAAAATGTTCAATTGGCTTTACATTCACTTCCCCCTCCATCTTTTTCTCTTCTTCTTCTAATTTGGGTTGTAAAAATGTCAAGGAGTTTCACAGTGTAGCAATGTATGAGTTACGGGGCTCTACAACAATTGAAAATCAATGACATTAGATACAGAGATATACTAATGCCGGAGCATGAAATGGAAGACAATGGTGTTCTCTCTCTCTCTCTCTCTTTTTTTTAATACACACAAGAATCTTGACATGTGAAGACGTGCAAGTCCTCTCTTACAAAAATCGAAAAGGCAGAATAATTTACTCTAAAATGTGGTTCAGTGTCATCGCCCTGTTCATGTCACTATACCTGCTATGATGATTGCAATGTAGGTGCCAATAACAATGCACTCACATATGTTCTCATACTGATACCAGGATAGGTTTCAGGGTTTCAATTTGGTACAGCTTATCCAGTCGTTGCTAAGTCAAGAGCTAACACAATGATCAAGAAATTAATCTTTGCAAACAACAACAACAAAAAAAACAACTTTAAATTCCAACTTCAAAATTTTCGAATTTACGAGTTTAGCTTTTTACTCCGAGTCAACAGACAAGGTAGCCAGCCTTTATTGTTCTATTTACAATGCATTTACGACATTCCTTGTTAGCTACTCCTGGAAATAACTAGCAAATCAAGAATGATATTGTAAAACAGTATATACTATAAAAGGGAAAAATGCACAGCCTATGACATCAAATTACCAAAAATGCAACTTTCTTCAGGTTATAGCTGTTGATTTCCAGTCAGTCAAGTGGATTGTCCCATAGTTAATCCCACCCTGTCATTAAGATGGTTGAAATGCCAGACAAATTGTTCGTCAGTCAGTTATTTCGGGGTCTTTAATCACCAAATCAGATGAACCATGTGGCAATCAGTCTACAGCTCAACAATCACCCTGAAAAAAGATTAATCGGATCTGTTCCATAAGTTGGGACCAGAGTTACACTGTTTAATAGTAACCATAATAAGATTGGCGGCAGTAGACTATTGGTAAGCACTAAAAATAAACACCACGCAAAAATAACAACCTCGGGATAACTGATTTTTTTAAGCCCTAATCCACACACCACACGAACACTCCATATAAATATGAACTCTTCTCATCTCTTACTCGGAAGCAAAGCTGCTATGAAGAAAAATATTTTACCAACTCCCCAGAAAGGGGAAATAAGAGAAGAAAGAATTGCATACACTCCACTGCAGGTAAGAAAGAAAAAAAAAAATCATCTTAGTAATGTGATAAGTAGTAATTAGCATGATACAAAAGTCTAGATTTCTTCAAAAACTCAATAACCAAAATGGATCACAATTTACTCTTGCCTCTGACCACACAGATCAAATAAGGCTCTCACTAGTTCTTTATCACCTCCTCAGGGAAATCAAGAGGTCTTTCGTCAAGATTAATGTCACTTGCAGACCCTCTCAATGGGAGCTCAGTGGAACAGAATGCACCTGAAACTTTGTCACTCCACTTCGTTGGGCCACGTCTACACAGGCCCATGAGGCAGGACAAACTCGATTTTAATCAGCAGGAGGGATTTGCAAGCCTGGAATCCTAGTTTCACATTTAAGTCGTTCATGTACATATATATACCACAAGAGATATTTACCATTTTTGCCATTTTACCAAGTCTATAGCCAGGGAAAACTAGGGTTCAAAAATGTGTCTGCCCTCTTTAAGTAAGGATCAATCAAGTCTGTTTCTTCAGCTTGTTCATTTACATTTCAGAGGGCCCGTCAAGCCGGTTCAGATCTAAGCGCCTGTTAGCAAATGTGTTTGGCCTTCTGCTGATTACACAGCATCATTTATTTTGTCAGTATTAGAAACGTCTTAGCCTTGCCACCTGGAGCTATAGCATTTACTCATTAGACCCCTCTGTCCCGCCACATCCCACAGGGGCTGCTAATTACTGGCTTTACTCCATTTAGTCTCATCTCTGATTTAATTACGTGCACTAAGAACTAATGAAAAGTACAATATGGCTCTTCTTACCTTGGCATTCTCCATTCCGCTCTTCATGCCCAGCATTGCATAGGCAGTTGCCAATGGGTACCAGCCATTCACCATCTGCCCCACAGTACATTTTTGGCACATCCTTCTCTTCTGAGTTGTTGACACAGGAGCCTCGAACTTCCACCAGGGAAGATGTATCGGCCCCTGTGATGGTGTCTGGAAACTGGGCCAGATTGCGAACGGTGAGCGGACACTTCTTATAGAACACACGGACTGAGACCAGGGCAATGCAGGCCCCCACATCCTGAAAAGCCAGATAAAACCCCTTTTTGCTCAGGGGCCCTACATCCCGGATCTCGGTGTTCAGCTTCATGATTCTGTCACCAATGTCCACTTGGGTGAAGCTCTCATCGGCCGCAATGGTGTCAATCTTGGCAAACTGGCTCTCTCGGATAAAACGCTCTTTGTCGTTGTCTGATTCATAGTAGTAGAGGTTAAACGTCTCCTTGCAAGTCCCCATGACACCTGGAAGACTGTTGCAGTCTCTCAAGGTGAACTTGATCTCAATGTACACCCTCTGAGCCCCCTCCCGGGTGATCCAATCAGTTCGTAGCCAGTTATTCTGGCTGGGTTCCATTACGTTGCACACTTGGTAGGTTCGGATTGGTGTATTTTTTTCATCCATTATACTCACTTCCTCCCACTGCAAAGATCCAAAGGAAATGTATCAATTACAAAATGTCATCATGCGATGACTTGTCAATTCTATTTTACACTCATAGGACAGTGATGATTTTTGTTTCAGGGAGGAAGAAAACTACTGAGAACCAATCCTCACTAACAAAACATCTTATGGGAGATAAGACAATATTTTATTGGGGAGGTGTTTTGTGTGTGTGTGTGTGTTTTTTTTTTTTTTGGTGGTTGTTTCATTCTTTTGCCTAAAATCCAGAGGCCTGGGGAGATCTTTTGCTTATGAGTTCCCAGCAGTTCCTTGTGGTGGTCTAACAACCTCAGATTCACCTATTACAACAACTACAATTTCAAGTGGCAACAGTTCAAATTTACTCATAAATGAAAAACTAGTATGTGTATTGTTTCAACAACTGAGCAGAGACCTGCAAATTAAGAGCAGGAAGAAAGAAGCTTGCCAAAGGAAGACAATTATCAGTTAATTAGTGGTGCTCCTGTCAGAACTTTGCTCTCTAATACCTAAAAAAAAGTGTCAATTTTTTTTTTTTTTTTTTTTTTTGGCACTGTCACTATTCTTTAAAGGGGTAAAGAAAATCTCACTCTTCTGGTTTTGGTAATCCTGGGAAGACAGAAAGTAAACTTTATGGTTGGATTTCTCAAATCCACTGTTATTTATAACAATTAAACACTTTTCCAGAGCTGTATATTCTTATTTTTAAAACATATACCGTAAGTAAAACAAGAACGCACACATGCTTTGCTTCTAAATATTCTGTGGATATTGAAAATAAAATAGTAGGTGGTGCTTATGACTGAAAGCCCAAGAAAATTAAAGGACAGTGGTAGGGTTTTCTTTGCGATCTACTTCCTAACATAAAGATTCTAACAGTGGGACAATCTGAACTCAGTGTGACTGGAGTAGTAAAAACTCTCTCGCCACAGCTTTTAAAAATAATCCTAAAAGCAGCAAGATTGTTTGGGGGGCTCCTATAAGGCCACTAGGCAGCCTCCAATTCTTCACAAGTATCTACAGTAATGCATTTATATAGATCTGGTATAAATCAGCTTAAGTATCTAACACATGAATATAATTAGAAGAAAAAAAGATAGTTAAAATTCATATTCTATAATAGCTCCACTTAAAGCTCCATTCAATCCAATGAAGTACGTAGAACCATAATGTATCTTTTAACGGGTTTTCCATCTGTGCATTGGAAAACTATTAATGGATGGAAATGTTACTATGTGAAGGGCCATACTGCATGAAGGGCCATACTGCATAAAAATCTGTATCCTTTTTATCTGCTACCATTATGAAAGTTGGAACTGGGAGGGTAAGTGCCCTGTGGTGATTAAAATTTCTTTTTATCCGCTAAGCAATAAGTCATCAGTAATTTACTTATTTGGGGGAAATTCATGTAAATCCAAAAATAGATCTCCACCTTCAAAAACCCTACTCAGCATGCTTCTCATCTCAGAACAAAGGGAATATGGAAAAACACATTTATCAATGTAAATGAAAGCTCACAGGGATATCTCCACAGAGTTCTTACCGGAGAGTTTGGGTCTAATGTGAATTTTCCAGCCTGAACTTAATTGTCTAAACACATTGATCAATTTGCCAGAACAATGACAAATCTCACCTTATTTTTTGTATCTTACAATCAGTGTCAGAAACACAATATGCTCCTTTAAATGAACACTGCCAAGAAATTAGATTTTTTTGTTACAATGTTGCCATCAGGAGCCATTAGTTTCTGTTATTCTTAAGTTCTGCTTAGTTGTTCTTACAGAAAAAAGACAACAGTGAGTTGTCGCTGACTATATTTCATATTTTACTTTGTGGTACTGTCAAGTAAATTTTCTGTTTCTTTTTAAAAATAACAATAACAACAGAAAAATGTCATTATTTATTGACAAAACCATGACCCCAAGTTTCCAGCCAAGAAAGATGTGAATCGTCCTAACTCTAAGTAGAAATTTCAGAATAACTGAAAGACACAAATGTGCTTTTATCTTCAGCTGGAAAGAACTTTTTAAAGCTAATCCATCCATACTAGGTAGATAATCTAATTCATCCCTTCATTCTAAGCCTGAAAAAGTCTTCTTTAATTACAAAATCTACAAATTAATGAACCTTTATAATCTGGCACAGAATTTCTCAATGGCTACTATGTATTTTGGAATGACTATTTCTATTATACTTAAATAAAATTTCATTTCTTACCCCTCACAATGAGTCCCTAAAATATTACACCCACCACATTTAAGGAAAGAAAGATGCTACATTCTACATCCAGAAGTCTACATTCAGCCCACAGAAAAGTTCTGGGTTGGACACAATCAGCTATATATGCATGGTATTATTTTAAGAGACCTCAAGACGAAAGTTTTGTGTTTATAAAAAGCGAGCAGGTGTTCTTTCGGCAGTTTGGAGTGGGTGCGGGATATGGGATGTCTACAGCATATTAAGTTGCAGTAAAAGCTTTCCAGAAACTAGATAGACCATAGACTGTGCTCAAAAATGTGTCATTCCTTGCTTTTATACAGGTCACATGTATATTTAGTGTAACAAGTCAGGTCCCAAATCATACTGGATGCATTCTCCCTTCAAACTTGAGAGCAGCCCGTAAGAAAAAAAGACTCATTAAATTTTTAAAGTACTGATACCTTCCATCTTCAATTTTGCTAGCAGTTCTAATACACTGAACTTAACAGAGCTTTACTCCTGGTGTAGCCTGGGAAAGCCTCCCTGAATCACTGACCTTTCCAGGGTATAGGATTAACAAGAGTCTGACTCTCACAAGATAAAGCTGTACCTTTCTTCGTATTCAAAGGACGAGGGCAATTGCCTGCAATCAGCAGTGAATACAGCTTGTCTACACTGTCAGAGGCCTGCCAATCACTCTCCCTCCCTTTAAAAAATGGTTTTGAGGGCTGACTAGAATTTTTCAGCAGAGATCCAACCAACTGCAGTCAAGTTCAGGCAGAAAAACAGGAAGGCAAGGCAAATCTCCGTTTTATTTCACATGGATCCCAAAACCTGTTTTGGAAAAAGACGGCCTAACATTCTCCATTTTCATGACAACTTCCTTGCCTTATTTTTAAAACCCTTCCTCTTTTATTACAGTTTCCGTGCATCTTTACTGTTTTGATCCCTTATCGTTGATTCAGTGGACAGGTGGGAAGCACCATACTGGGGGCTGGTATTCCAATCTTCCCCTGCTAAAGATGCCTTGTCTTTCACCTCCACTGCTCTCAATCAACTGATTCAGTCACAGACTATCAAGCATATAAAGGCAGAATGATCTTAATTTTTAAAGGATCTGAGAGTTCCTTAAATTTGACAGAAGTCGGAGTTACATGTTATAATGATTTCTTTCCCTAGCCGATTCATTCTGACCTGTTTTGAAGGGTGGAACGGGGAGAATGTGGCCATTGACCTGTATTCTCTGAGTCTTCAGAAGGAGGCAGTGAAGGCACATTTCAGAAGAAATGAACAGTGATGCGCTCTCTCATACCTTCTCTTCTAGCTTCCCCTTTCCCAGGGGCTCAAGATTCCAAATACTTAAACTTTTTTACATTCAGCACCAATAGCACAAAAGCTTGGGGTTTTTTTTTCTGTATATATTGTGCCCCTGGCACAAGCCCATAGGGTTTCCTCACAGTGTGCAAGAGAGCTGCAGTTGATTTAAGGTTGTGAGATTTGAGGTCATGAGATTTAAGGTTGTGAGAGGTAAGGACGTGCCCCTCCCCCGCCCCCATTGCCTATGCCTGGAACTAAACTTGTGCCTGGTACAATCAGAAATGTTCTCTCCCCTGGTATCTTTATTTATTCATTTTCCTCATCTAGAAACAGAACAATTGCTCTAAAATTAACCCTGTCAGGTCTTCACGGCCATCACAGTAATAGGCACAAATTCTCATTTGGTCCCTGGATCATATTTCTTGTCGGTATTTTAGTTTTAAATAGGCATCTAAGTCTATGCCTCCACCAATCTCCTAATTTTGAAACCCCTTTCTGCCCTTTTGGTTTCTAGTTCTTCCATGACAGACCTATCCAAAGGGAGTATAGGATTTCTCCAACAAAGCGTAATTCACTTCATAGGCCATGGCGGAAATCTGACCCCCTCACCACAATCAACAAGAATCAAGCCATTAGGACTCTCAGAAAGTTGCTAATCACTCCTTTTTACCCTTTGGATCAGAGAGCAACTCGGAACTTACCCCTCCTTCCAGAGGGCTCGCTATCCACCCAAGTTCTCCCTGAACAGATCTGGAATCCAATAAGGTAACTGCAAGAAAACAAAGGAAAATGGATTAATTTCCAATTGCAAAAAAGCCAATACTACAAAAACCATTTGCCTGAGCGTTTCCATATGTTCTGGGGGTGTGCATATCCAACTCTGATCAAAACCTAAACTCAGTCTCACTTATGTAAATAATCATTACTTACTTGATCTTCTCTCCTCTTTAAATCTGCACATTCTTATTTATTTAACTTGCTTCGCATTTAAAATTCCATCCCAGGCCTGAGCTGATTCATTTTCTAAAAAGGATGAATAGAGAATCTCAAGTACAATTCAAAAAATAAATACATCTATGTAGGGCAGCTACACTCCAGAGCAAAATCAGCATTCATCTCTGTCTGGTATCTACTAGAGTTATTTGTTTTTGCAAGTTTCAGATGACCACATAACTCATCATCATGGTGACAGAACCACAAGTGAATTCTAACAGAGTATTCAAAGGGTCATGAAAAGGCTCTCTCCTCTACAATTTCTTTTTTCCCTCCCCCACGAAATAAAGAGGCCCCGGATGTGGTATCTGCTGCTTTTTTAAAATATCCAAGTTTCAAAGGGGTAATGGCAGACCTGTAGAATTTAGAATGCCAACACACTGGAATACTCTCTTCCCCAGGTCTTTTGGAGGACAACCAGAGACTCGTCCTCAGCCTAGGAGGAAATCAACTGGTTTGAATTTTAGATGAAGGAGTGCTGCCTAATAGATTTAGTGTTTGTGCTTCACCTAAGCGCGTGTGTCAAAGCTCAGGGAACAGGGAAGCCGGCTACAGAGCTGCTATCCCCCACCCAGGCTGGAACTGTCCTAGGCACCGAGGACATTTTAAAGGACACAATGGATTCCTAACCTCTCCACATTCCCTTTCCCACCGAGATCTGCAGGCCTGGGGGTCGAAAGACCCATCTCAAAGGAACCACTGGGTTATTAATTTGATCAGTGAGGCTGGCTCTTTAGGTTGGAGGAGGGGTGGGAATGGGGAGCCCTCATCCTTGCTCCTGAGCATTCCGACTCTCCATCTCACCCCTAGGCCCCTGAATTCTGCCCACCTTCCCTCATTTCATCCCCAAGTCAAAGGAGTTAAAAACAGCCGCTTTCTCCTGGTTTTCCCGAGGAGCCTGAATTCCTAGGGTCTCTTAATTATTTTAAAATGTAGAGCCTTCCCTGGGTCGCTCCCGCCTGGAGTTGCGCCCCCCTCTTCATTCCCTCTTCTTGGTCCCTAGAGAAAAGCCCGCTACATCCATTTGGATTTATGTAAGGTGGATTAGGGACACAAAGGGAACAATAAGACCCAATTTACAAAAAAAGGGAGGGAGTAGAAAAGGAGGGTAAAAGGGAGAAAAGGAAACGTGATGGGAATAAAAAGCAACAAAATGAATTCATTTTTAGGGGGGAGGAGGGGCCGGAGGGGGGGAAACACTCCCCCCCTTCGTTCTACATCAGCCTACAGCTCCATCAACACCGTTTTTGTCTAACGCTCCCAAGTTTTCCTTCCAAAAGAAAAGGCAAGAAAGGGGAGGGGGAAAAAAGAAAAAAGAAAGAAAGAAAAAGGAAAGAAAAAAAGAAAAAAAGAAAAGAAAATCTCCGTTACGTCTGGAGCCAGAGAGGTCTTGAGGGACGTCCTAACAAGTGTGCGAAGTAGTCAAGAGAAAGCGAGATCCATGATTCCACTAAAAGGAATGACCCTGGGGACCGAGGGACCGCAGCGACCGAGAAGGCACCAGGAGTCAGTTAAGAAGAAGGGAGGAGATCGAGAGGGTGGGAGAGCGCCCCTTTCCTCCCAAACAGTGTCTGCCGGCAGGTGTGTGAATCTCTCCCAGCCTCCGTCTGGCGAGCTCTGGGTACCGGCTGCCCAGCCAAGGCTAAGTTGGTTTTTGGCTCCCTCCTTCGGAACAGGGAAAATGATAGATAGCGCAGGGATGCATGGACGGATTCTGGAGAGATGGACGCCTGAATAGATGGATAGATGGATGGATGGATGGATGGGGGAGGGCTCGGGGCGGGGGTGCTGTGAAAGAGTCGACGAGACCCGTGCAAGGCTAGATGCACGCTGACTCGAGCACAAGCAACATGGAACAGAGGCGCACACAATCAGGGCACTCACGCATAGGCACACAATCGTCCGCGTCCACGCGGGCACCCGCGCACCCACATACACGCATTTGCGCGCGCGCGTGTACACACACAGACTCACGCTGACACACACACACACACACACACACATTCAATTCGCCTTTCCCTGAGATCATCAGAAACTAAATGATCAACACCCACCTCCCCTACACAGAAACAGACACAATCTTTCCAGCACGTCCGAAGAGACGCGCAGAAAACAGCACCCAGACGGGTCCAGTCGGTCCCGCGCGTTCCATCCAAACTAACCCAGTGTATAGTTCTGGGGGCAAAAAGCAAAAACTACTACGTTCAACTTGCCAGAGGGTCCCCCGTTCTGCGGGGGTGATCTGAAGAGAGTGGGGCCCCGTAGGCCAGCGATCGCACACCCGGAGCGCGCGGCCCAGCGGGGAGAAAGGTGTCTGACGCCGGATGCTACAGAAACCAGGTCGCTGGCGACCTGTGAGCGGCGCCACGACCGCTGTGCCCCTGAGGCCCCGCAGCTGGGTCCCGGGAAGCCCAGGGCTCAGGAAACTTTGCAGAAACCTTGAGCTCCAAGGCTTTCGCAGGAACCCGGGAGCACCAAGCACTCATTAGCTCCAGGCTTCCGTTCCCCCCTTGACCGGGGCTGGGTTGGGAGCGGTGATAGGGAACGCTATGTCCAAATAATTTATTATTATTATTTGTTTGTTTAGTCCTGGCGTTGGCTGTAGTGTATCCCCTGGGGCGCCTGGAGCCCGCCTCGCCGGCAGATGCTGATAAACTTTGTCCTTTCGCTACAAACTTGGGTAGCCCAGCCGAATGCAGGGTCACCGCCCGGGGAAGGCTGCCCGGCAGCTTCCCCACTCCCCTTCGCGGATCCCCTCGTCCGGGCCCCCTTCTCCGGAGTCGGGGCGCACCGCTCACGCCGGGATCCCCTCACAGCCTCCGGCCTTGCGCTCCCAGGGACCATTCACCCGCAGGTCCACCTCTCTGCCCGGGACCACAGAAGGGCCGCCTCGGTCTTACCTTCATTCGCGGGGTACACCCTGGAACCGGTGACAGCGTCGCAAATCCCAAAGAGAAACGAAAAGAGGACGAAATAGAAAATCCCAGCCATGGTTCGCCGGTGCCAACGCTGCTCCTGCCGCTTCTATCCCAGTGGAATAAATGCTTAAGTTAGGAGTGCAGCAGGCTGAAGACATTGCCAAGGGGGTGGGCCCAGCCCGTGACGTTCACCCGCCAGTCCGGGGCCCGCGGCCAATAGTGGCGCAGACGGGACGGCCCCGCCCCGCCCCACTGAGCAGAGCCCGCCCCGAGGTCCCGCCCCCTCCGGGCTCGGTGGGGCGCGCGGTCTCCCGCGGCCTCTGGGGCCCAGCTCTGCGGGGTTCCTACCCCCGCCGGAGGGAGACGGCGTGGTCCCAGGACCTCACCTCGGGGGTCCAGCCCTTGGGCAGCGGAAGGAGCTTCGAAGACTGAATTGACTGGGGGGGAATCCGAGGAAGATTGGCAACCCCCTCCCTCCCCAGGGCCCCCCCGCCATGGGCGGTTTGAGATGGAGGAAAAGGTTCTTTTACTGCAATAAAATAAGTATAAAGTTGACCTGCCTCTTTGCTGTTGCTCTTTCTGAGGGTCGAAGCGTTCGCGTCTCGCTCGCGGGGCTGGCACACCGCCTCTGCCACCCTCAGCTACCTTGCCCTGTTTGTGTCTTTATGGCGCATCTCCAAATGAAATGCTCTTTGGGGGAGTTCTGTGGTTTGATTATGTCTTTCTTCCTTGGTTCCCCAGCTGCCTGGAAAGCAGGGACCTAATCGGTTCCCGAAGTCCAGGGCCGCTCCCGGCGGGAGGTAAGGCTCAGCCACAGTCTCCAGAGACGGAACCAGTGACTTTCTAGCAACGGAGAAGAGCCCTCTGGTTCCACCTCGAGTTCACGCAGCGCGTCTCTTCCCGACCCCGGGACAGGACTTCCCATCGCGCCAGGACGCCGCGAGAAGGCCGGGCCTGAGCTGCAGGGAAGCGGCTGCGTGTTTCCCCGGGGGTCGTCCCGGAAACCAGGCCTGGTCAATCCCGGGCACCGGGGCAGAAGCGAAGGGCGTAAAGTGGGAGCCGGGATACCTGCTGCTGCCCAGCCCCCGCAGGTGGGGACTCGGAGGCTGCCCGGCGCGGTTGCTGCAGCTCTGCGCTCCGACGGCTCCCGGGCGCTGCTGGGGACCGCTCTCCGAGCCCTGGGCGGGGTGGCGGACGGCAGAAGCGGCGGAAATCCTCGCAGCTGCCCCCACCCAGGCGCCGAGAGTGTCACCGTTAACCTCCAGGGACGTAGGCCCCACCGGGCCTTGGTCTGTCCCCAGATGTCCGGGCTGCGAGAGCAGCCACCTGAGCGCCGCCGGGCGACCCTAACGCTGCGGGCGGCCCGGGGACCGGACCCCCGACGCAACTCGGAGCGTTTCTCCCGACGTTTAAAGGGGCCGGATTCCAGACTTGGCCTCCTCCCCGCCCCGCACCCCCGTCCCAGGCCGCCCCTCCTCTGTCTCCCTCCAGGGTAGGACCGAGTTTTTCTCCGGGGCTAAGGTCCCAGCGGGTGGGCGACCGCGCGGAGGTGGAAGCTCCTTTCCCGCTCAGGCAGCGGCTCATCGTGAGGCAACCGCGCCACCTGCCGGCCTGACTCGGGAGTGCGCGGCCCCCGCGGAAGGGCGAGCGGACAAAGGCTGCAACCTGCAACCGGCAGAGCGGAGGCGTGGCCGTTGGGCACCTTTTCGTCCGCGCTCCCACGTCCCGCGCACCCTGGCCACTCCTGCGGTGTGTTGGCGGGGGGTGGTGCAGAGGACCCAGGAGTCGTGCTTCTCGCCAGCTGGGTTACGGAAAATGGAATCAAGGAGAAACTCATAGTCAATATCCCCAGGGCTGACTGAGTTAGCTGCAGTCCCTGAAAACAAAACAAAACAAAACAAGACAAGAATCCTAGATAAAACAGCAAGAGATAGGGCGGTGTGGAGGAGGGAGCGGATCGCGGCCACGGCTTCAGGTCCTTGGGCCCCGCAGCCCATCGTGTCTCCTCGTGGTTGGAGAGCCGCACCCTTGCAAACTCAGAACCCGGCAACTTTTTTTTGAGCGCGCTTGGCGAGGTTGTGAACAGTAGCTGTGTGCGTGGGGGTCTCGGAGGGACAGCTTGTGCGGGGCCCCAAGTATTTTGCCTTCTCGGCGAAAGACCTCCTGAAATGTCACAGTGTGAGGAGGTGGATTTCAGTTATTGTAGCTACTGTTTTCACACAAGTGAAAAGGGCAAAAATGCACACGGGAGGATTTATAGGTATGTGTATGAATCAATTATTTAAGTAACTGCACGAAGTCCCTTTAAGGGATTCACTTCTAGCTTCTTTCGTGTGTCTTCCTGAGCTTTATAGGAAAAGAAGATGAAATATTGGTCCCCTGCATTTGGCACAACGACTGGAAAGAGGAAAGAGCAGTTTGAATTCTGTCTAAAACCTTTTTAAACAATAGGTACCGGTTGCCTCTCTGCACGAGTTTGAGTTGTATGTGGTGGAAGGGGAAATTGCCCGCCTCCTTAAAAACAGTGAAATTTCTAGAACATGTACCACGTTTCCCCTCCTGGGATATGCACGCTGAATATTAAAGCCTTTGCAACCACAGCTGCCTGAAAGCAAGGCTTCATTTGCTAGGGCACATTCAGTGACTCCCCCTTTTTGCGTCCCATTTTCGTTTTTCAGATCCCAAAACAACCCAATAACCTGGAGAACCAAAAAGCAAGAAATTCAAACTTGGAAAACTGAACTATAACTTCCTCTTTAAAGACTTTCTGAGATGAATATCAGAAATGAACTACTGGAAATTCTGTCCACTGTGACTACCCAGAGGAAAAGTTCTCTAACCTAACAAGCAAGGTTCCTTTCCAAAATAGGGCAAAAGTGAAAAAAAAAATGGTGGCCCAGTCCATCAGCAGTGTGGAACCCCCCCCCCCAAACACACGCACACTTTACTGGAAAACACCTAAGAATTTTCAAGCATTTGAGAGAATTTACAACACATCAATAACTCACTGGTGTCATGAGCGTACAATAGAATACCATAATCTCAAAAAGTACCTAAAACCACCTTCTTTTAAAATAAATTAGCGTGGCTCAGTCAGTTAAGCATCTGCCTTCAGCTCAGGTCATGATCCCAGAGTCCTGGGATCCAGTCCCACATCTGGCTCCCTGCTCAGCGGGAAGCCTGCTTCTCCCTCTTACTCTGCCCCTCCCCCTGGCTTGGGCTCTCTCTGGCTCAGTCTCTCTCTCTCTCTCCCCCTCTTTCAAATAAATAAATAAAATCTTAAAAAAAAAGAAATAAAATAAATTAGCTGGACTCCAGAGTAAAACACCCTAAATGCTGTGAGAATTCGAGACGATTTTGAATCCATTAAGAGATATGTCAAAATATATGTGCTTATAATTTTAATGAATATAGTAATCCAATATCTCAAAAACTTGGATAGATTTTTTTTCCTTTGTTTACAGTGCCTGTCACAAAGACTTGGACTTCCGAGTCCATCTTAAATGTTAGGTTGACTTAAGGTTCATTTTCAGAGGTCTTTCTGATTTGTAAAGACATTTTAAAATAGCACCAAGTATCTCAGAGTTTCTGCCTCTCCGGGGAGAGCCAGTTTCACCAAAGTGGTGAGAAAAGGGCCTTTGACCTGTGGATAAGTAAGCAGTGACCGAATTCTTTCAAGACCAGAGACAGGATAACAACAAGAAGACGAATCCACACTGCCTTTTACGGCTAGATTTTTTTTTTTTTTAAAGATTTTATTTATTTATTTGACTGAGTGAGAGAGATAGCGAGAGCAGGCACACAGCAGGGGGAGAGGGAGAGGGAGAAGCAGGCTTCCCGCCGAGCAGGGAGCCCGATGCGGGGCTCAATCCCAGGACCCTGGGATCATGACCTGAGCCGAAGGCAGATGCTTAACGACTGAGCCATCCAGGCGCCCCTAGATATTTTTTTTAAGATTTTATTAATTTATTTGTCAGAGAGAGAGAGACAGCGCACAAGCAGGGGGGAGGGGCAGGCATAGGGAGAGGCCCAGGCTCTCCACTGAGCAGGGAGCCTGATGCAGGACTCAATCCCAGGACCCTGGGATCATGACCTGAGCTGAAGGCAGACGCTTAACCCACTGAGCCACCCAGGCGCCCCAATCCGCTAGATTTTTTTTTTAACAAGTTTAGCTGGATTTCCCTGGGTAAGTCTTGTTATCAATGAAATGGAACCCCCAACAGTACTGTGAAGGATTCTGCCATTGCCGGGAGCAGGGATTTCAAGACAGACATCTAGCTGGTCTTTTACCAGTTGTGTGTCTGTGGGTAAGTTATTCAACCTCTCTGAGGTATGGTTTCCTCATGTGTGAATTGTAGTTATGTGATTCTTCTAAAACGTGAAGGAATTTTGTAGAGCACCTGGTATAATGCCTGGCACGTGGTGGACAGTTATTACTCTCAAATAATATTTCACTAATAACTATTTAACAGTTAATTACTTAATATTAATCATTTAATAGCAATAATTTAATGTTATTAATTGAGAAATCATGTGTTCAGCTTGAAGCTTCCTTTCTATGAGGAAACTGGGCACAATGACTCATGCTTGTGCTCCATGGGAGGAGAATGTTTTATTTCACCAACTCTAAAATTCTAAATTCTTCAAGAAATTCTAAATTCTTCCCTTCCTACGTTGTTGATTTATTACAGCTCACCGTCAACTCATATTCTTAGATGGTACAGTTGGATTTGAACCTAGAGGTAGTACTTACCTCCAAATTTAATAGTTTCAAAAACAATTAAGTGAAACAAGGTGCAGAGAACCCCAAATCCCACAACTAAATCAAAATATTGGTGATCAGGAATAACCAAAGCTCCATCGAATGACATAGCCACCTTGGTCAGGAAGACACTCCTGACCCTAAGCCACCACCTGAAATACTGTAACCTGAAACATTTGGTGAGTCTCCTAAAGCTTCCAGGAAACCGTTTTGGAGACTTCATCCTTTGATATCAAGACTTTAATGCTATTTCTGATACAAATAAGAAGCAGGACTCTTGTTAGCCCTTGACAACTGAGTGGGAAAAATGGCCACAGAGCCCAGGTCCTGACGAGTCAGAAG